AAAAAAGATGCTTCGATTCAATGTGACATAAAAAAGAACCTACATTAGGACTCCACTTTTTGGTGGTTGCAGAAGAGCCAAACCCTTCCCAAAATGGAGCAGAAGAGAATTTCTCTTGTAGTCTTTCTACTTCCTGTTCTCTGCTGAGAGCGGCAGGAAAGTACTGCTTTTTCTGAATTCCGACCTCTTTTCTTGTCTCCTTTACACTGTTGTCATCAACAACAATTTTTAAGGGATCACTACTTTTAAGACAGCTTTCAACTTCTCTCGACCCAACTACATCTGAACTGATTTTAGGTTGAGGATGCAAGAAAACTTGATTGTTTTCTTTTTCTTCAGCTACACTCACTTGCACGGATTCATTTTGAAGAGGTGGGGAACATTCGGATGTTGGATCTTTTTGATCCACATTTGGTTGAAGACATACTTGATCTCTAAAATTACTTAGGTTGGCAATTCTTTCGCAGAGCACATCTTGGATTTGTAACGAATCTATCACATTGTTGTTGTGATTCGTATTATTCCACGCTCCATCATTGTTTCTTGGAAAGGGCGGCAAATCCTGTAAGCAGACAACAAAACCACAATTATAAGTAATACATAGGCTTGAAACATACGCTTAAGTGCAAATGACTCCACAAAATCCACGCAAGCTTGGAATTAAACGTCCAGCTAGAACCTTGTGGTAAAATAGGTCAGATGTGTACTAGTGAATAAAAATTACCTAAGCTAATACACTACAACAGATTTCAAGCTGTCCGACAAGGTCTCAAATAGCATGACGGATCCCAGCAGCTTCGCTTTCAGGCGATACAAACCGACAGCACCAGAGCAGAAAACAGTGAGTTTCAGAGAGAGGGGACTCTGGCTCATGGCACCAACCTCAGACCTCCAGGGAGCCTTGAGGGCGGCGCCTGTTCTTATGGCAACCCCAGAGCCAAGGAGAACACCCCTGGGCTAATGGCACCGTTGCATGCAAGGGTCCTGATGGGGGCTGAGGGTGGGGTGCCAGGGGGGCAGG